GGCGTGTCTTATCACGTCCGCTGATAATCGCAGGGAAAATTCGCGGAATCACACGCGGAGAGATCGAGAGTTCGACGCGCTCGCTACACCGTGCTCGGTCGGCTTTATCGGCGAGAAACGATTAAACGTACGTACAAAACGCGTCATCCCTCCGGGTTTCCGCTACACGGAAACGCCTACGACTCCGAGATCGCAAACGGAAACGCGACTGCGGCACTAACAATTCGTTACATTCATCACTCACCTGTTCTCACGTTCGCGGCCATTTTTCATTCGTCGCGGCTCGCTGCGCCAGCCGACGTCATTTCAGATTATGACAGCGCAAATTTCAAACTTCAAGCCGCTTTCAAATTTATTATCCGTTACAAATTTGATACTGTAACGCAGTGTTAACTAATCAGTCGCATATATATCGCTGTATCTATGTATGCGATTCTGTTTCTTTGATATTAAAACTTATCAAGCGTGCAATCTCTTTAATCTATATTCGAATCCTGGAAAGTTTTATGAAGTTTGAGTAAGTAACAAAAATAATCTACTTTCTCCAGACTGTTTCGACATATCTAATTTTAGATATTACATTATTGAAGATTTAAATCTTTTCTCCTCGAGACTTTCAATATCTAATCTTTTATATTCTTTAAAATCTTAAAGTTTTAAATTTTTCTTTTTTATTTAAATATAATTCTCTCTTTTATGATCATTATATGAAATCCACATGTCTTGCTAGTTTTTTATGGAGTTACAAAAGTTATACAAAAAATTGTTTAATATGTATTTCTTCTTTATTATAACTGAAAAAGTGGATCTTTAAAATGCAAAATAAAATTAGATTAACATACTTGTAGACCCTGACCGGTAATAAACTGATTTTGGAACTTATCTAAAATGCTATCAAAAACAATAAATCGTGGATATTATATTAAGGAATTTATATAATTATAAGATAAATGATATTTATCGTACACATCATGTTTATATATGTGCTAATTTGATTCCTAAATTCCATTTTATATTTTTAGCTAACTTATTTATTTTAAATTAAAATTTGACTCTTCCAAAAAAATATATAATATCGAAAATTCGCATGTGTGATAAATCGCCGTTAATTGGCCACTAAACAAAATAGAGAAAGAGAACACGACGATCTTCATCATAAACGCAATTTTATTTTGCCTATATACAGAAAGAGAAAATTCCCTTGTCGCACCTAGATAATGATTTAATGATTAATCGTGTCTTAGGACAATTAAAAGTTGATGGACGCGTGTAGCGTTTGTACCCTGACTTAAGATGATACGAGAGGAATTATAAAGTCGGGACCGACGTTGTCCCGGACGGGAATTATAAAATAACAAGGAAAAAAGGTCTCTCTCTTACTTACTTCCGCGAAAGTTAGAAAAGAGTTCGGGTAGGTAGGTATGTATTTTAAATACAAGAACACATGGTACTTTCGTCAAACATGAGGGATCAAGATAAGGATCGAGTCACAGTCTCGATCGACAATCTCATCGTCCCTGCGTTTTCCTCTTGAACTTCAATGCTAAGCCGATAGTTCTACGAACGAGAATGCTTCGTCGTCACCTGACATACAGATTATAAGCTTTGAATCACATGAGGCTAAATTTCACCGACAATCCAAAGTTATTAATATTTATATCTTTTAATATTTCGTCAGAAAATTCTATTATGACGAGTCATTCTTAAGAAAATTTTTCAAAATAGGATGTGCAGCCTCATGTGCTAAACTGATACAAGATCGTCGATCGTTTACTTTGTTTCGTTTTTAAATTCGAAACAGTTTAACCTAGTGAGCTGAACATATATATCGCGCAAGCGATGACTTCAAACTTCGAAGGTTTGATGTCAAAAGAGGGTAATTCTCGTGTCTTTGATTAACTAGAAAGAATTCTACCTGAAAACATTGCCCTTGATGAACACATTTATATATTCATAGATACTCGTCATTTGAGTAATCCAGAAGCGTATTTTTATTGTTCTTAAGTTAGAAATTCACTGATCAACATGTATTTCGTGTTTTCTCTAATAAAGTTAATTGTATAGGCCACATGTCCAAGCAGTCTTGAACTTTTCGGGCAATGTTTCTAGGTCAGAGAACGAGGTTTTATCGTGTCTAAATAAGAAATATCCCTTCTTTTATTTCCGTCTAGTAAATTTGATTGACTCTGTGATATAATGATGATAAGTAAACGGATATATAGGAAGAATGAGCCGGATGTTAGGTTAGAAACTCGTTCAATAATTTGTTCGATTTTGCTCTGGTAAGATTTTGAGCGTTATTAAGCAATTATTCTCGTGTGCTATATTATTTTATATACAATATATATTTTTTACACGAATTTTTAATTTGAATCCGACTCAATCTCTAATCCCATTTATTCATCGCTTTATACTATGTATATACTATACTATACAAAGCTCACTAGAGTTGTATTCGAATTTACATTACGTTCCAGTCGCTCGTTCGAATTTATACATAGCTATTTTTTCATGGATCAACCAGTATAGCATAAAAACCATCCCATGTAGATGCGCAATGCGAAATATCGAGAAAGTCGAGTATGTACTCGAGTGTATCTAACGCACAATACAAACATCGAATTCGATCGTTTACAATAATTAATATACATGGACTTCAGAGACACAGATGATCGCAAGTAACCGCTCGCTTAACAATCTGTATATTTTGTATCACATACGTCGCTTAGAATCCGCAAGATTTTATCACAAAGGATTCGCACGCGCGCGAATATACTTGTAAGCAACAAGGCGAATGATTTCTTGGACCAAGTAATGGCAATGTTTCTCGAATCTAAGATTCTTTAGCCAATAAAGACTTTTGTAATCACTTGCGTCACGTTGCCTCCGAAATTGTAAGCGGAGAATGACCAAAATCGAGACGCTATTTTACAGAGGATCCCTTTAATTATTTTCGTTGTTCAGTGCTTCAACCGTGAGTTATTTCGGGACTAGAGTGAGCTTACCTTTAATGAGACATAATATCATCTTGCGTTCAAAGTTCCAGCTTCGACCATTCAACTCCAAAGTTACAGCACTAAACGAAGAAAACAGTTCAGAGGAATTAATTTAGAATAGACTTTGGTTACTCTCCTCTATATAAAAATTTCCATCGAGAACGTTACTCTTTCGTTCTTTGTTAATATATTTCGAAGCTTATTCTAGGCCGTTCTTTATCGGCGAAAAAAAGAGGATCCGGCATCTTTAGCCGTGTTTAGCCGCGCGTCTCTGAGACATAAAGATCGATACAATTTTTCAATACAGGTTGGAGATTGCGCGACTTGAACGTATATAAGTGAAGCGTGATTCAGCTGCCATTAACACATTGACTGCCAAGGTATATATTCATCTTTTTTTTTTTTTTTTAAGAATAGGATCTTTTACTACACATTGCTCTCTTTTGATAACAGTTTCGTTCAATCCTTTACATGTTGATATCTTTTCCGAATGCGCTATATCAAACAAATCGAAGAATGTTTCAGTTGTCGAAACTTATCGCTATATTCCCTATAGACACAGCCAATGTGTTAAAAGAAAGTTATTTTTCTCCTTCCTTCTTCTTTTGATTGCGCTAACTCTTTTCTCTCGGCCTGATAATTCGGCCCGGTTATCGGCGCGAGAGAAGCACTAGGATGCGAAAGTGACGCCGTCGCGCGCAGATTAGTGATTCTTCCCCCGAAGGAGAGTCAGTCTTGTTGAGGATTGGTAGGTAGCTCTGGTACGAGTTGGTCCTGACACGAGGACCTGTTACCGGAAGCTGTCAACGAGTATAACCGTAGCGGCTTTGACAGCCACGGATGCAGTGGCACGTCCTCGGCGTATGGTCGCTCGGACGGCTCCTTTCGCAGCAACGAACGGATCAGGCACTTGGCACGCGGGCTCAGGCCCTCCGGCACCGCGAACTGGCCGCGCGAGATCTTGGCGAAGAGGGACGCGTGCTCGGCGTCATTGAACGGATAACGACCGACCAGCATCGTGTAGAGCAACACGCCCAACGACCAGATGTCTGCTGCTTTGCCGGAATAGGCACGTCCGGAGCGCAGCACTTCCGGCGCGACATACGCCGGGCATCCGCGTCGGTCAGTCAGCTTGTCGTCGTCGTTCTCCACGATCACCGCGTCCTCGAGGCTCTCCAAGCGAAGCCGCGTTCTATAAAGACAAAAAAAGAAATTAGAATTCATCAAAGTGTGTGGAATTTTTCAAGACAAGCGTCACTTTCAAAACAAGCGAATTTTATCTGAATTCCTCTTCCTCCTTTTGTTAATCTTAATTTATTTAAGTTTTCGGATACACAAGAGCGATTCAAAAGCTGACGAGGGCGTATAATAAATGACACCTAGTATCGAGAAAATTAAAGACCAAGCTACAGAGAACAGAGTATTAAATCTTGCTAAAGATTTACGATCCTTTTGATTCGTCGTCGTGCGAAATTTGTTCCGCGTGTCTCGAGCATGCGTTGCGCCAAGTCTTGTATTTATTATCGACCTGGCTATGATCTGGCCGCGAGTTTGCGAAGCGAAACCGAGAATCTCTAATCGTGCAACCTTTTATGCGCGCGCGCCCGAAGGCAAGGTATTTCAATTTAGCAAGAGGACACCGCGATTGAGCCATCGCCATCGCTGT